CATGAAATGTAGTTTCCATTGCAAAAAGCTATTCGTAAGGCTGTCTTGTCCAAAGAACACTAGTATTTTCTGAGTTCATTCCATAATCTATTTAGTGTACATGGATGACGGTTTCACAGCACCCGTTTCAACAACCAATCACACAGAAAGCTATAGGCGCTTCATCTGACGACATGACCAATACGTTTTTACATGGAATATAATAAATACATGTTCCATTCTCTAGCTGCTTGAGGCGTGTGATAGTAGAACATAAATATTGTGTAAACAGTTTGTGTAGCTTTTCCAGACGGAGTATTTTTTTTTTTTATTATGTTGCATACTGTTACCGGGACACGAGGACAGCTTATGCTAATGAGCTTTATGTTCGTGAATTCTCACCTGTTACAAGGCGTGTGACTTTTTGCAGGTCTTTTTCTAGATGGTCGTAGATCCAATTGATTCATATTCGTTTGTTTTTACATATCCATTGGAAATTCTAAATCCCTGATCTATACAGATGTTTATGATATGAGTGTGTGAATATTTTGCGTCGGAAAGGGCTGTTGCATATCCTTCCTAAAAGTGATCACTTTTCGATGGCATCCCACTATGCACATAACGCCAATCATTGTCAAAATGTAGTTCTTATACAATCCGTTCCACCGCAATTTTATATTGACAGTAGTTTTCACGTGACTTACGTATCCAAAATGGTTTTAGCATAACATATTCGAAGCTCTGTACTCTTGTTAGGAGAGCCTGCAGTTCACTTATCTTAGTGAGAAATGATAATCAGTAAATTATAATTAACAAAAAGAAATAATTAATTAATATTTATTATAAATAAATATTTTACAAAAGTAATGTTTAGTAAGAAGGTAGCTTGTAAGTTTAATGTATATTTTGATAAGCGTACACTTTGAAACGATTTGTGTCCAAAGTATGCATGGCGTTAATTTATATTCCCAAAATGCGTCCATTACTCACTGTTAAGAGCTTGTTCTTAGTCTAAGCATATAGACATTTTAGGTTATCTTAATGTTAAGATACTTTTTTAGAGGGATTACGTGAAAAAAAAACAAAAAACAATAACAACAACATATGAGGCACTTGACTCTGCTTGCATTGTTCCCGACAGTACAAGCTAGTGACTATAGCGTGGGGAATGTTCTCTTTGCAGGACTTATCCTTTGATCTCCTTAGAGTGTACTGATCATGTCCATCATGCAATGTTGCACTTATATATTGACTGACAAGGACTTTTCCATAAATATGATAATGCAACTATCCACCTTCTCCCGTTGTTCAAGGATTGGTTCGAAAATCATAACGGTTGTCTTCCTTAGTCAGCCAATCCGATTGAGTATCTTTAAGATGAGCTCGAATCTCGCTTTGACACTGTGATCCTCTTAACCAATTGCAAGCGATGAATGGACTAACAAGCAAGATACCTTCTTTGTTCTGGTGGAGTCTACACAAGGCCATGTCCGAGTTATTATTGCAGTGAAAGATGGTCCAACCCAATATGAGATGGATTCCTAATGATATGGATAATTGAAGCGTTTGTTCCAGAACAAAACCACATTGGACTATCTACTGTGTCTACCATGGGAAATCGAGCCCCGGATTTTAGCTTTGTAAGTTCAAAGACTTACCGCTATCCCACCGGAGGACTAATTGGTGTGCATGCTCTGGTTATAAATTATAAAATAAACGAGTTTCGTCGAGACCTAAGAAATTACAACACGCAATCTTTGTTCATAAGTGCACCATCTTTCCAGACTTCACTAAGTAAAACACAAGGTGAATTATATGAGTCTATAAAGTTTAAAGATAACATCATGTTTAAGCTAACTAACCTTCGTCGCGGGTGGTTAGTACTAGAGACGTGTTTGAAATAAATTATATTTATTAATTAGCTAAAAAAAATGTTCCGTGTTCCTATTGATTGGGAAAGTGTTTGAAGGTCTACCTTGAACTATAAAATAAAGTAATTTTGTCCTTGTCTTTAACGTTTCAGTCAAAACACTAGGTATTTTGTATTTTATTAATACAAATATTAACGTTAGTTTACGTTTTCGCTCAGTTCTTTTGGTATAAAGAGGAAAGACGTATGACGTTCTGCACAAGAAAAACAACAATGTTTATTTATCAGAATTGTGTTTTCCAGAGAAACCTGTGAAACACCACCCATAGAGCACGTCTATGTAAGTAAGTTCAAGGTAATCAAAACAGATATTCAATCAAGCCACGAGCCAAAAAATTAAATAACATATTTCTACTCTTCAATAAGAGCTAAAGAAACATTCTCAAAGAATCATACACTAGGTTTAAGCTTTCACGTACGACAGAAAGAAGACATTTCGGAAGGAATAATATGGCACAAAACAGGAATCGGATTCTGCTATTTATCTTCGTTCTTGAGGATATCGTACGAACTTATTGGAGTTGATTAATTGAACGTTATAATCTCAAGAACTCTCGTCATTAAATATACACAGACATAAACATACATATATATATATACTTCTGTAGATTGCACAAGATGAATAAAGCCTTCCATGATTTCCTTTCTTCTCACCAGCATGCTGAATAACGATGTTACTCGTTATTGGGCCTCCCTTCATCATTGTCATTACAATGAACTATTAACGAAGGTATACTTTCTCTACTGAAATGAGTTGTTTAATATATTTTTTAATGAGTCAGTTACTTTGAGGGCACTGTAGAATGAAACATACCATTAATTTCCCTTCTTCTTCTTCAGATATTTAATAGGAAACTTGACATTTGAGAAATCTTGAAAGAAAAAACAGACGAACTAAGAATCCTTTATATATTCTTACAGAAAGCTCTCAAACATGTGTTCGTTAAACGAGCTTTCATTTTTTAATATGTCCGTGGAATTTTGAAGTCGAAAAGTAAAAGACAAAGTTAGTCTGTAATAGAACAGACTATTCATATAGATGTTTGGAATTAGTTGTATGAGTTAGTCTGTAATCTATTCACATAGATGTTTGGAATTAGTTGTATGAGTTAGTCTGTAATATATTCACATAGATGTTTGGGATCAGTTTAATGAGTTAGTCTGTAATAGAATAGTCTATTGACATAGATAACTTTGGAAACAGTTTAATGAGTTAGTCAGTAATAGAACAGTCTATTCACATAGATGTTTGGGATCAGTTTTATGAGTTAGTCTGTAATAGAACAGTCTATTCATATAGATGTGTGGAATTAGTTGTATGAATTAGTCTGTAATAGAACAGTCTATAATCAGTACGTGATATGATTACAAGAGTCACGTACAGATACCCCTAATAAGTAAGTGGTATGACTACAAGAGTCACGTACAGATACCCCTAATAAGTAAGTGGTATGACTACAAGAGTCAAGTACAGATATCCTTAATCTCATAACTAGTATGATTACAAAAGTCAAGTACAGATACCCCTAATGAGTAAGTGGTATGATTACAAGAATTAAGTACATATACCCCTAATCAGTAGTTGAATGATTACAAGAGTCAAGTACAGATACCCCTAATCAGTAAGTGGTATGATTACAATAATCAAGTACAAATACCCCTAATCAGTAGTTGAATGATTACAAGAGTCAAGTACAGATACCCCTAATCAGTAAGTGGTATGATTACAAGAATTAAGTACATATACCCCTAATCAGTAAGTACAGTGCTCATTTCTTATTGATATGGTTAGTGGAATCAAAAACTATGTAACCATACTTCAGATATCATAAAATATCAAGATAAGCAAGCATTTTGTTGCCCACTTCTGGAATATTCACAATTACATTGGATTAAAAACCGTGTTCTCTGGAACCCCAGGGTTCCGCAAAGATAACAGGTAATGGCTTTTTTTTCTTTTTCACTTATTGAACGTTAATTCGTCAGGGACCAAATGTATTTTGAAAAAAAAATCATAAGTCAGTTGATATGCAACATATTTTTGTATATTTATTTACAATTTTACATTAACAATACTGTTACAAACTAGGTCACTTTCATCTAGGTTAGGCTAGGCTTTAAAGGTGAGTTAAAGGTTCGGGTTCCGAAAACGGAATAAATGAAATAAGAAGGTTCCATGGCTTCGTAAAGTTTGAATAATGCTGCAGTATTACACCAAATTTCTTGAATTTTAAAAATTTATAAAATGTCGTTTAATACAGCTATCAGGCCAAACACGATATGGAAGTTAGTTTAAAACAATGTGTGATTTTCCAAAATTAAATCAAAAATATCCATAGGGACAATAAAACTGAAAACAAAAAATCAAATTCATAAAATATTATATACCGTTCTGATTCCAAATGAATAAACAGAACGTGGGCTAAATGTGCAAAGCAAATATACGTTCAGTAGCTATACACTTTTATAAAACTATTAAGAACTTGGTTATCCTTGTATAAAAATTAACTTTTACTTAACCGGTTACTGCAAGCAATGTGAATTAGTTGATAGACAGCGATTTTTGTTTTGTTTAAAAGCTCCTGTTAATTCCCCAGGCCATTCACTCCCTAAATGAGAGGATTACAAAAGCATTTACCACACTTTAAAAAAATGATCTTCTATGTAGGGGGTTTTGGGGGGATATTTACCCCTATATATAGGGAGTTAAGGATTTTAAACCCCATATCTGCACATTTAAACTTTGTGGACAGCAGTACATTAATTTCAAATTTAATTACAACTTTTAAAATATATTTAATTTACTGACATTTACAAAGTGTGTGTGTGTGTGTGTATCTGTGTTTTCTTACAGCAAAGCCACATCGGACTATCTGCTGTGTCCACCAAGGGGGATTGAACCCCTGATTTTATTTGTTGATATTTACAAAGGTATCTCTAACAGTTCGGATATCATAATTAATAATGAGAACAAAAGAAATTACGTTAGCTTCAGTAAGGTTTTATCATTTAAAACATCTGCACTACAAGGGACGCATTGAAAACTTTGTCCTGTACAAGGGACATTGAAAACTTTGTCCTGTACACTTGCGGCTTTCTTTGTCACCCGAGTGAATGGCCCGGGGTATATTTCTGTATTCTTTATGCTGTCTTTTTTACTCTACGAAAAACACTCACGTGATTGAAATTGTTTAGAAGTTTAATCAGTTCTTATAGTCAGATTAACCACTGTCTTTAACAACTCAACTTTTCACTAGTTTGATGTTTTGATAACTTTAAGTAGTTTTTGCACTGTACAGGACACATTTTCTGATTGTTTTCAGTACACACAAAATTAGACACTATCTACCAATAAAGAATGACTTGAAAGCGAAAAAAAAGCAGAAGACAGAGTCTCGACCTATACTTACCTACTATAATCAAAGGAAAAAAAGCTTAAAATTGCCTTTCAAATTTTGTATAGTATAATTAAGAATGTAAAGAACTCAAAATGAAATTGAAACAGCTTCTAAATAAAAGGCAGAAAAAATGGTAAAAAGAAGATACTACCCACCTCCCACTATCTGTGTCTAATATGTGACCACACACCCACCGCTTTCAAACGCGTGTGGCTCGAATGTACATTTCTTAAAAGCTTTTCAACGATAATTTACAAATTTCACAGTCTTAACCACAACCATATTTACTTAGTTATTATCAACCTATCCCTCTTTCTTATAACCAGTCCTCCCCACCCAGGGGTAGTGACTTGGACATTTCTGACACGTTTTCATGTAGCGTATGCCGTTCTGGTCCCACACATTACACACGGTGGGGTTGTGGCAAGGAGGAATAAGATTTTTTCGTTTACACTGCCAGGGTTCAAAATTGTTCAATTTGGATTTGGGTGTAGGGTTTCTTAGCCACTGAATGAGTTGCCAGTTAGTTATGAGCCAGACATCGCCTTTACTGAGGATTTCGTCTAGGAACTTCATGAACCCCTTCTTGTGGTGGGCTGTGGTGAACCAAGCCGAATGGTAGAATAGACCAAGTGGGGCACGATTTGAGTTATAGTGGCGATTGAAATTTTTCTTGAGGAATTCTACTATTCCTTGTTCGTCTTGGGGATTGGAGCAGGCATCGGCCATGGAACAACGACCACCTTTCAAGTCCACCCACATTACCATTGCCATCTCCCACAGTCCCGGAAAGGATTCACTGGGACAAGGCGTGATCATACATTCGTTGTTGATGGTGTAGTCGAGGGTAAAAGGCCAGAAAGGAGGATCGTTCTCAAACACTGGCATGGAGGAATCGTAAGTGAAGTTGGCCTCGAACAGCATTTCAAACATGTGATTCCCACCAATTTGCAGAAAGGGTGCCCTCATCCCGCGGATGTCTTCCATCTTGACTCCTCCATACAAATGGAGAATCTCTCGTTGACCCTGTATTTCTTTGAACCACTTGTTCTTTGAGAACTTCTCGCCATAGCTGTGGCTGTATCAAATACAAAACCGTTAATTATATAATTAGTTTGAGTTTTTACAAAAAATACACAACTACACAAACCCCCCATCACTACACACTGAAAAAATGTTCACTTATTCATGTGTATAGTAAGGGATTTCGTGCAATGTTCAAAGGTTACACGTTATATATTACAGAACAGTTTTGAAGTATATAATAAAGTACCACACTAAGAAGTGACTAGATGATTTTTAGTTTGTTGCTCATGTTCTATAAAAAAGTATATTTATTAGATGACTTTTTTTTTCACGAAACACATTACCTACTTTAAGTACTCTATCACATTTTGGATATCTTTTACAGACATACAAATTTACAAGTCAAAATGCTTAAATGAGATGTTGTTCTAGCAGCAAGTATTTCATAAAACGGTATTTAAGCTTAAAAGCCTAAAGAAACGCACCTGATGGTATGTGATGCCATCTCGTGGCCTTGAGAGTAAAGGGTTTGAACCTGTCCATAATCCGTCCACTCATGAGAAATGTAAAACGTGCCATGAATGGGACAACCATTAGGATTTTTTCGTCCAGCAAATATTTCTTTGTATAAATCGAAGTTTAAGTCATTAATTGCGTCATCGAAGGTAAGAAGCACAACTTGAGGGGTCTCGCTAAGAGGCAGCCCTCCAGGAATATCTGATCCCCCACAGCGACAATCTGGAGCAAGACACTTACTGGGGTTACATCCACTGGCTTGCACTAAGGGAACAGGAGTGGGATATAAAGGAGAGGGTCTGGCGGGATATAAAGAGGTTGAATTGACAGATTTCTGAGTTGGTGAACTGGTAATGACTACAGGGGGGTTTGCAGTGGTTGTTGTTGTGGATGGTTTGTGAGGTTTCACATTGTATGGTGGTGTCGGACTTGTAGGTTCATAATCATCATAATATTCATAATTGTACTGATACGGATCATCGTAATTCCTATAACTGAAGATTTGAGAAGGATCGTTGCCAATCGATACATCTTTCACACCAGGGGCATTGGAATTTCGAGTAGAAGTAGATTTTTTGTCAATTGGGTAATTATAATTAGGTTGGTTATGGAAGCCAGATAAACTTACAATGGAGGGACTAGTGTCAAATTGGGCATCTATACTGCCTGGACCTTGCAAACTCTGTTCAGGCCCGTAAGCAGGGCGGTGGTTCTTAGACCTCTTAGGAGGTGGAATCGGTGGTGAAGCTAAAAATCTAACATCGGGGTCTTTATAGTGACCATTGTTACTTGCTAAAGGTGAAATTGCACCAACATCCTGTGAGTGGCCATCGTCATTTGATAAAAGTGGGATTGTATCTGGATCTTTAGGATGGCCATTATTTGTAGATAAAAGTGGGATTGTATCTGGATCTTTAGGATGACCATTATTTGTAGATAAAAGTGGGATTGTATCTGGATCTTTAGGATGACCATTATTTGTAGATAAAAGTGGGATTGTATCTGGATCTTTTGAGTGGCCATTGTTGTGATCAATGGGATGAAGTGTTTTAAATTCCTTCTGATGTTCGTTGGTATAATAGGTTTCGCGGTCTATACCTGTGCTCTTACGTGTTCCATCGTTTTCAAATACTGGTTTCACAAACATACTTCGATCATGTGGTAACCGATCAGTACCCAAATCGCCTCCAAATGTCTTCTTATTAGATGCGACGACTGAAGGGATGCCTCCGCCATACTGGGGTAGGTCTTGGGGATTTACCTGCGATATACCATAGAGGGGGTTATAATTGCTTTTATCTGGATGACTCGATTCCTCAGGTGTACCACGAACATTGTTATATGGGTTTTGGTATGGTGGTTTTATTGGAGATGTCTGAACAGCAACACCGTAGTTTGAGCTCCCTTCATGAGATGAATCCAGCTCATGTCTCTGACTTAAGAAAACGTCACCACCATTAGTTAAAACCTCATGGACTTCTTCTTCTTTGGTCTGTGAACCTACGTAATTAAGCATGGGGATTTACTTTTAATGGTGCTTGGTTTAACAGAATACTAAATTATTGCATAAAGAAATATTGTTATATAATTTTCAAATTACAGATATGTTTTTATACCGTTCACTACCAGTGGGTCTACATATTGAGTAAATTCACGTTTTTGCCTCTTACAACTAACCAAACCATTAAGGTGAAATCACTCATTTTCTATGTAAAACACACATGAAACTCCAGCAGCAAGTGGTTAGATTACTTGCAATGGTGATTATAATTTTGTTTGCATTATTTTTTTGCGACACAGATGTTATCAATGACCCTGTAGTCAACAAAGTCATTGGACCCACAAGCGGTTTGATGCCTAAACAGTTTGGAAAACTTTGTTCAAGTAATTCTGCAGTTCAAATTAAATTTTTGAGTTCATAAAAAATGTACCAAGGTTTGAAAATTAAAAAAATTCATTATAACATATCTAGCAATAAATATTTTCAATAAGTTAAGAAAAACAAATTAACAGTCAATCTTCATGCTCAATCTTTATCTTGTAATGAGAAATCTAAATACGTTTAATGTTTCTAATAACTATTGTTAAATATCGGTCTTAAATACAAGCAAAAACAACTGATTTCTTGGGATTCGTACTAGTAAGTTGACAATAGCATTTTTATAAGGTTAAAATTTGTTAATTATTTTTTACCCTTCGCACAAGTCCAACAAAATGTAAGGTTTAATCCCTGATAATGAGGATAGACATAGACAATTAACGTGAAATTTATTTTAAAAAACAACTTTAAGGGGATTAGTCCCCTAAACTCCTCGCTAACACGCAACCCAATTATTGAATTATGTGATCGGATTCCTTTGCTGCTTGGAGACATGCGCTTACTAAGGTTTGTTTGTTTGTAATTAAACACAAAGCTACACAATGGGCTATCTGTGCTCTGCCCACCACGGGTATCGAAACCCGGATTCTAGCGTTGTAAGTCCGCAGACATACCGCTGCGACTCTTGGGGGCACTTACTAAGGTTGGTACCACCATCGTCATATGTTTTATACCTTTCATATTTACTCAACAACAACAAAAATAAAAACAGAAATTAACGTCACCAGCTTTGTACTTTTAAGAACTGCAATTTTATACGGCACATTATGTGCACGTGAGCTAAACACACAGTAGAAAGGCTGTCAGCAAGTAGCACCCGCCGTCACATGGGGGGGGGGTCGACTCTTTGAACCGAATAACGAAATTGATTTTCACTATCATAATACGCCTACAGTTGAAAGTCTGTAACTTTAAACCCTTTAACCTTTAGGCTTTAGCAAGAAAAATCACAATAGAAGAGTTTATGAAAACAGTAGTATTTCAATTTGTACTAACATGAAACTAGTACTTACCACCACCTGCACATTTCGTGTTTCTCGGCCAATCACAGGTTTGCAGTTCAGTACTAAAGTACAACCCCCCAGTACAGCTTTCGTGCTGGGGATCTCCAAACACACAAACGTAATATTTGCTGCAGTCCCCTGGATCTGGGTAGTATCCGAACTGATCGATGCATGTGAACATACTGTCATTTTTACCACTACATGGCAATGATATACCTAACGAATAATAAGTTCACATTAAACACATGAATAACTGAAAAATTAACATGACTATTTTTACTTTTTATGGTCTTTTGCATCACTCACATTCAAATACTTTACAAAATAGTTACAGTATTTTTTATCCTATGGTTATTTTAACTCGTTTTTAATTAGTGATTGATAGTCTGAAAAGATAAAATGTTATTTAGAAAGTTCATTGTACTTAATTATATGTACAAAATAACATCAAAATTACCAGATACATCTCCAATACATTTTTCATTTTACGTTCAATTAAATCTATATTAATAATATATAAATACTCTTTTGTGAACCATAATATACCCTTTAGATGAAAATATTCTAAGTGTTACTTTGTTCTGAGAGCTTGATAAAAACATCTATAGATAATAAAAAGAAACAAATTTCTGGCTTTAATTTTAAAATTTTACTATATAACTTGCAATAAATATTTTCGATAAGTTCAGAAAAACAAATAAACAGTCAATCTTGATGCTCAGTCTTTATCTTGTAATGTCAGATCTAAATATGTATCCTTACGTAACGCCATGAGAACACTTCAACAGTTTAGTCTATAATTATATTTATATCTTGAAGTCTTAGATTTTGTCTTTGAAACAAAAGTCCTTCTTTTCAGTCTTCTTGAGGTATTGATAAGAACAGGTAATATTTCAGATACAAACGTGATAAGTGGCTCTGTCTATCTGCCATATTATGAGTAAAAGAAACAGTGCTATTGGTCAGAATAGACAATATTTGAGATAGAACGTGACAAATGGCTCGACAAGTGATAGTAAACACTGGTAATGTCCTAACGTTTCTTGTATATCGAAGCGTTACATATTCGTGCGTAATAATACCTGATGTGATATTTCTAAACATTAATCATTGACGCTTTACAGATTGAAGTAAACAGTGTTCACTGAAACTTTACCGCTTACAGTAAACAATCTTCACAGAAGCTATACCAGCTACAGTAAACAATCTTCACTGACGCTTTACCGGCTACAGTAAACAATCTTCACTGACGCTTTACCGCTTACAGTAAACAATCTTCACTGACGCTTTACCAGCTACAGTAAACAATCTTCACTGACGCTTTACCGGCTACAGTAAACAATCTTCACTGACGCTTTACCAGCTACAGTAAACAATCTTCACTGAAGCTATACCAGCTACAGTAAACAATCTTCACTGACGCTATACCGGCTACATTAAGCTTTTTTTTGTTTTTCTTGTCTGCTGATGGACATTTACATTTTATCTGTGTTGGTGACTTTTACCCTGGAAAAGACGTAGTTCGTAGTGTTAGTTTTAACTAGGAATCTTGCGAAACTTATAATTGTGATTAACTCTAAAAACGGTGACTTTGTTGCAAAAATTACAGAAGGCCTTCCAAACAAGTGGAAAATCCTCAGGACACACACACATAATGCAACACTCCTCTGATCATGATTTATTTACAGGAATTATATATATTTGTGGATTCTACATTAATGTATTTATTTCATTATACAGGACAAGTTACCTGTCGCAGAGAACATTGAGCACAGTTTTTTTTATATATATATACAGAACATAGTGGAACAACGGTAACTTTTATTTCAGCCAGTATAATATTGACAGTTTCAGCCAATTCACCGTATTGTTCTCTTGCTGTTCATCGTCGTCGCTCCCCAGTGGCACAGCGTCATGTCATCGGACTTACAACGCTAGAAACCGGATTTCGATACCCGTGGTGGGCAGAGCACAGATAGCCCATTGTGTAGCTTTGTGCTTAACTTGAAACAAACAAATAATCGTTGATGAAACAAACATTGCTTTGTGAACCTCGTTTAAATGTAGCTTGCATATTGATGTAAGATGTCAGTTCCCGGATCTTGCAGAACTACAAACATCTATTTATTTCAGAAACAATTAAAAAATAAAATAAAAACACGCGTAGGTAGTAAAAAAAATAAAATTGCGTTTGTTTGGTAAGCTCTTTTAATTACACAGATACCATAAAGACAAACATAAAAATAAAACACACACACACACAACACAAACAGTAGGACTGGACTGTGCCTTACGAGTATGAAACTATTGAGGTTACGAAGAGAATGAAGAGATGCCAGTGAACTGCCATATTCGTAGCACACGTCGAAATTCGCGTCATGTACAACAGTTAATAAGAAGGTGGAACTGTATATTGTCATCACACATTCCATGTCATTATTTCCTCAACATTGGTAACTATGATATATACAGTATGTCTCCAGTTACAATGTTTATGAAGATTTATTTGTGCAAACGTGTGTAAAACAAACGTTTTTGCGTGTATATACTTCCTGCAGTTTTGTCACCTGTGGGGAGTGCCGGTTCCAACTTTTCTTTACTCGAGGGGAGGAAGGGAGCGGGGAAGAAGAATTAGACGCCAAATCTAAAGTATATCTAAAATTAGGTTAATGGACAGCATTAGTTATGGGGGGGCAACAACATTTCAGGGGACTCGTTCCCCCGCTAGTGCCGACCTTGCCTATACATCCACAGAACAAAATTTAAGATGTTAAAATAATTTAAGAATGTGTTTTACTCTTGGATGTTTCGCTATTGTTTATTTATTGTAATAAATATGTTGCCTTCTTATATATGCATTTCTCGATAATATGGAAGTTAACTGTTTTCTTTTCTTTTTTAATTAAAACTATAACAAATTTCAAATTCTCAAATAACTTTCTTCGTACAAATATATAATTTATCATATTAATCTAACAGATTTATTTTCTTAATCTAATTAATAAGTACATACGAAATGAAGAATAATCGGAAACTAAGCTTGTTCCCAAGATTCCCAAGTTTGGACAAACAAAGACAAACATGAGAAACATTTATTGCTGTTAACAAGTACTATTTATACGTTTTATTGGTAACAAACATTTTAAAATTTTATCGTTTTGAAGTTAAGTAGTCATCATACATTCTTAGAACGTTCTGCAGATAAATACCTTGTTGACTTTGTGACTTTCTGTTGTTAGATAAATACCTTGTTGACTTTCTGTTGTTAGGTAAATACCTTGTTGACTTTCTGTTGTTAACGAAATGTCTGAACATTGTTTATTAACAGCAAAACATTTGAAGAATGTTAAAAACAAAACGTTCACAGATTATTTTAATAGCAGAATGATATAATAATGTGTAACAATAAAAGACGTTTACTAACGACAGAAAGTCAACAAGGTATTTACCTAACAACAGAAAGTCAACAAGGTATTTACCGGATGTCTGCTGTACTTAACAAGTATAACCAAAACGTTTTGTCGTTAAAATATGATTTATGCCCCCCACCCAGTGGGCAGAGCATAGATAGCCCATTGTGTAGCTTTGTGCTTAATTCCAAACAAACAATATGATTTATACTTGTATTCATTATCAAATATTTTTAATATTCAAAGGTAATAAGAACTTAGTCAAAGGTCGTTCCTGGCTTTCACCTCCACAGGCATTCTTTATATAAAGTAGCACAATACAGAATAATTGCACTCACCCACTTCTTCATCCATGGAATAACTTTCACCATGACTCAAGTTCTAGGATAATTCCAGGGTTTCTGAACCCTAAAGCATCCATTCGACTCCAGCTGCGCGTCGTGACTATAGCATTCATCAAGTGTTGTATATTATCCCTAATAACTAGAATACTTCACTATTATTTAGCCTCGAACAAAACAAGGTCGTCTTTGAGCATCTCGATTAGGTTTTCACGTTGCTGTTTGATGTTGTTGACAAACAAACCAAAAATTATTTTAAATTACCTCCAGCGGTCAATGATCACAAAATTACACTACTTGACGACAGAATCAACCGCCTACACCCTAAATTATGCCAGTGATCAGAATGGCGTTAAAAGGAAAATTTACCTTAGGCAAATTTCGGCATCTATATTCTCTCGTTTGGTATATGTGAGCACGAGGTCACGTCTTAGAAATAGGCTTAAGACGATTATTACAGTACTCGCCTCGACCTTTCTCACATCTCTTCCCTCTGACCTAACGATGTTTATTTACATTTGAAGTTCACATAATGGTGTCGAGTTTGTGGTTAACTCATAAAACAAGAAGGAATCCTCAATAGTCGCGGAACTTGAAATTATTTTAGGCAGGATTAAAGTAAATTAATCTATGACACTTTTTTTTTCTTTTTACTAGCTATATTTTTGTGCGCCAACAATACCAAGCGTGGGGCGCGCGCGTATACCAGATTCGATTTTATTACTCATCAGGATCTTTACCAGCCTACCCTCAAAATGAAATTCTTTTAGGCTGGATTATAGTAAATTAATCTGTGAGACCTTGAGCGTGGTCAAATAATATCAATTGAAAGGGTTTGTCCTCCTAAGTCCAAAACTGTTCTTAGATTTGAAATCGGTTAAGAGATGGTGGAGCTATGAGCTTACTTGAAAAAAACAAAAAAAACACTTAAAAACAAACAAACTCAGAACCGTTCTATGAGCCGCTATGCCGCGGCTAAAATATCACTTCTTTGCTACTCACACTCTGTTGCTGCAAACACAGGCATCTCAACGGCTTATTAGTATCAAATTATCTAATATGTCGTATAACATCTTATTTAACTATGTACACTTTATCATGCATTGAAAATTCTCAGATCTTTCTAAATACCTAGTTCTACGTCATAGCTACGTCATATTAACAAAATAAGCCCAACGGAAACAATTTTGTACATTAATAGAAAGCTATATTCATGTTGGCGATCTTAAGATTTCACGTTTAGGATGTTGCTGTGTATCTGTATTTCCGTAAAATACATTCTTACTTCCGTAAGATCGACATTATTGATAATTATATCTGTGTTTTAACGCTATAATTTGTATAATGTTTCAGTGATTTTAAAAACGATTCATCGACGTACATCTAGGTCTGGTAGTTAAGGCAATCGACTTGCAAGCTGCAGTTCGTGAATTCAAATCGCGTCACTGAAGATGCCCTGTCAGCC